GGATCAGGCCCCATTTGGCTGAAGAGCATCAACTGTACAGGAGAAGAAGAATTCCTGAGGGAGTGCCAGAAGGGAGGCTGGGGAGAGCAGCGTTGCAACCACAGCCAGGATGCCAGTGTGGAGTGTTCAGGTACATGCCTTTCCCAGTTTGCCTTACCAAAGCCTGCATCGGGTTCCTCTCTTCTCAAAACCAGCGTGATCAGGATGAGAGTCTTTCTTTTGTATTGCAATCAGCTGTTCTGATTAATAAAAAGTTTGGAGTGCAATCTGGATGGCTGAATTTCTCTGGAAATATTCAGAAAGATTGTAATCCACTCTTAATGTCAGAAATGTTCAATAGCTTCTTCAACAGACCATCAAAATCTTGTATTGTTTCACCAAAGGTGATAATCCACTCAAATCCGCTCCTAATGATTGTCATTCTAGTCAGCCAACTGCAAAAGCTTTATACATTCAAAATGTGGAATGTATTTCCTTTATCTTTGAAAAAAATCATGGAGAGAGAGAGAAGAGCCTGAAAGGCTATGCTAGTAATGCTATATCTATTTGGCCCTAATCGATATACCTTCTTGAAATGGCAGCGAGAAGGTTTGCTCATTAAGAGGACCATCCTATACCTCATAGCACCAGAATGTCTACTGGGCTACTGATAGCAAGATATCCATCTTGAGATAGTTCTGAAGAAGCCTCTTGATAGCCAGGCTCATTAATTTTACAATAAGCTCTGCTTGGTACCAGTCATGATATTTGCCGGATGCCTGAGACATTCCTTTCTATAGACCTCTTTCTGGCCTCTGTCTAGCCTCTTTGTGGCATCTTAATTTACAGCTTTTAAGAAGTCAAGTGAAGTGAAGTTCATGCATACATACATCCTATATATTTTCTAATTCCTATTTCTAATATGGCTACATCTAATATATATTTTCCAATATGTGTATCAGGTATTTTCATCATGGCTTCATCACTCTCAGCTTTTTTCTAAGCATGATAGTTTTGCCATACTATAACATATTTATGTAGTAACAAGAGGAAGGGTAGCATTTGTCCCGAGAATCTCTTTCTGGGGTTTTGTTAAAGTTGGCAATAGAGTACGTCATGTACAATATTTTTCTCTTCAACTAGAGCAGAACTCCTTGTCTTGGTACTTACTTTGAGGCAACCAGTAGCATCTCCTTAAATAAG